AGACGTCTCTTGTTTATTGTCTGTATTTTATATTGAATCCAAGAAGTAATTACCTTTTAATGCATTTCAGTTTAAAGGTCTTGCATTGGTACACAATTCTTGTGTTAATATAAATCCTTGTAAGTATTACCTTTATTGTAGGTTATTATGATTTAAAATTTTAATTGCAAAATAATGATATTTAAGTATTTTTTTAAAGGAGAAAAATGTTCTGAAAATATTACTACTAAGGTACTAACAACATAATGTCTCCAGTGCTATAGTGTAATTAGGAGACAGTTGCACCTAGAAGCCTCATTACTTGTGCCCCATGGTAGGAGCAGTGCAAGTATAGGCAAAAAGGCAGTAATGTGGTCCCAGTGAACTTACGAAATAGAAAACAAGATGCTATTTGTGAACATAGGCAGAAATAGTTGTTTAATAAAGTTCCTCAAAGTGTTCATACAAGTGGACAGTTCATTATAATTTGTATCGGTATTGTGGTTCCTGTTTCATTTATGTCTCTATAGCTTAGCTGCTGTTAACTGCTATTAGCTGAGCTTTTGGAATTAAGGATTTGTGCTTCTGTACCACTGCAAAACAGCAGCTGCCAGCTTGCAGATACTCTTTCCTAGAATTAGCTGTTTTGTGGTGGAATCTGCTGCAGAGATTTTTGTATTTGGGTAAGATAGTGATTTATTGAATGATGTATTGGTTTGGGGGTTGGGTTGTTTTTCTGAATGGTACAATCGGTCAGGAATGTTTATGGTACGGTTAGTCGGGGATAACCCAGCAGAAAGCTGGAGTAGCATAATTTCACCACGTTACTGTGTTTCATGAAATACTGCCTGGGTCATATCTCAAGCAGACTTTGTTTTCTGGTTTTCCCGTGTTTCCTGCCTTGCAGGCAGAGCTCGGTAAACATTGCATTTCCTCTTTAAGGCCTCTCTTTTTCACCTTCCAATACACTTACAAGTAGTTTTCAACTATGCTTTCCTGCATTAACTCCTGAAGAATAGCTATCTTCAGGGCAGCACCTTTAGGCAGCCCTGGTGTACCTGCTTAAGCAGGTGATCATCATGTGTCCACCCTACTGTGATGCTTTTAGCATGGACACAGTGTACAGGTCAGACATGACCACTGCTCTGCTGTGTTCCACACTCCACTGCTCCCAAGCACAGTGCTATACAAAGCAAAAACCACTGGGGATTTGGGTCAAACAGTAATTCTCAGGCATAAGAGGAGGTGTAGCATTAAATCAGTCCAGCGGTTGGTAAACATGTGATGTGACCTCTTGGCAGTGTGTCACTGTCTAGGGCAGAACTGGTGATGTGACTGATGCAAGGTGAACAGATGAGGACCAGAACATCACAAGGGTGAAGGCTACATTCCCAGAGATTTCTAGGCCTTAAATTGCTGCTGCATGTGGGTCTCTTACCAAACAGCTCTTTTCTGCCCAGAAGGGGTTGTGGCAGTCATAATTTTAAAGATTCCTGCATCCTGTTCCTAGTTGAGCTTTCCTAGAGCACCTTTCCTTGATGTTTGCTTCCTTCCTTCCTTCCTTTCCCTGCCTGCTTATTGCCTCTGCCATATAGCAACACTGCAGTTGGCCTGAGGGTCTGCACCTCCTGGTACCAAATACGCTTGCTTCACTGTGGCGTTTCCCTCTGCCTGCCCTTCTGCTGGTCCTCCAATTCTGTGGGTTAAAAGATGCAGTTGAAGGTATCAACACAGAAGTTGGGCCTCTCTGACCACAGAGGGCTGAGTCTGTCTTGTAGCCCCATTTTAGTCAATTTTTGCTTGATGCTTTTCCTAATTGCCATCATTTTGGGCTACCATAACCTTCTCTTCATATGGTTTTGTAATTTCTCCATGTGAAAGAAGGAAATGCTTCTCTGGAAGGCTGATTTAAAACAAACAAACCAAAACAATAACAATGAAAAACTACAAACAACTGGAACAAAAAAAAAAAAAACCACAAAACACACACATACCACTACAATGAATCCCAAAGTAAAAAGGTTGTGAACATTTGCTCCACAAATGTTCTGGAGGTGTTCCTTACTTCCTGGGATTAGGTAGGTAAGATAGGGCAGGTGACAAATTTGATGTATCATATCTCTGCAATGTATCACATGGATCTTATTTCCGTGCATGTGGTACATAGCATGCATAAACTTTTGGCTTCCATAAGCAGAGAAGTAAAAGAGATCTGGTTAATTTAAGCTATTGTGATTTTTCTTTCTTCTTGTTAAACATTTTGCATCTTTTTATTATGTCAGAAAAATAAGTCAGCAACTTTTTTCTTCCTCTCCTATTAAAAGCACTAAGAGGAAAGCATGGCTATGTGTCCTACAGGAATTTCCCAACTTCTTGGCAGGATGGCTTTTGGGATAGAGAAGCAAACCCTGCTACATGACTTCAGAGAACTACATGCACAAGTATGGTGCGTAGTATTTGGCTCTGGATCTTTGTTGCATTCCTTGCTAAATCTGTACACAGTACTTAAGACTAGAAACACCATTTATAAGCATTCTTGTTCCCCACCTTGGCGGAGGGGGAACCCCCAACAAAATCAGTCAAATGAAAAACCTTTGATTAATTAATATGGTTAAAGAAATGTTCATGTTTTGTGTGTATATAGGCATTGAAGAACAGGGGAGCAAAAATAAAAAGACCCACACTCATGACAGAGATGTTGCAGATGGAGAAGGGTCTCCTGAGTGATCCCACCACACTACATGTGGTGCCAAGGTGCTACCTGGGCCATATCCATCAGCTTCAGCATGGGTCAGTTGCTCAGATGTGGGTGGCCAGTTTCTTTTAAGGGGGTGTCTGAGGTGATCCAAGACATCTGTACAAGTCTGGCACCCTGACACATGACCTACAGTTGATGCACCCTCTTCTTGGGCAGCCGCTGAAGATTAAATAGGACACCTTGTGAGCATCCACAAAGACACTGAGCACTTATGTTTAGCTGTTTGAATCCTGCTTGTCCAGATTTCTGCAGAGCAAAGGGTTCAGTGAGAGATTTAACAGAACATAATCTAGTCATGTAGTCACAGATGGTCTTGCATTTCCCACCATGTTCCTCCAGTGATCCTCTTTCACCTTGGAGAACTTCAAAATAGTATTTCTCTTTGTGAGGTTTAATTAACGATATTTCTTCACGGAATTCTTAAATGCCTTTAGGGCTTCTGGTCCCAGAAACCAGTTCCTTTTAGACTTTGCTGTGCATGTTTTCCACAGAGCGTGTGCTAAAGGAAATAAGTAGCCCATGGCTGTCTGCCATGTCTCTTGAACCCTGTATTTGCTCCTCGCTACACTCACTCCTTCAGTACTTACAGGACAGTCGCATAAGGAACATGCAACCTACCTTTTTACTTGTTTTCTCTTGTTTTGCTGATAGCCTGAGGTTAAACAGGGTCTGTGTTGGGATTGGGGCTGTGCAGGTATTGCTGAGGGTGTCCATACACCAGCATTGCACATTGTCTCGCTGACATCTCGACACAAGTTACCTCAAAATGTCTCTCAGTGTGGCAGACAAATTCATCAATAGACATGAACCTTGCAAAAACCTTCACAACTCTGCATCGCCCTCTGTGCCTGCCCCACAAGGAGGGAAGGACTTGATTGGCTTGAATGGAGGAGTTTCTCTTTGCTCCAGCATCTTCATGTGGCTGGTCAGTTGTTCAGCAGGATGCATACTGATGAGTTTCGTTTGTTTGAGAACAAATAAACAACCAAAGATTTTGTTATGGAGCTTCTCTTTGGTAGCTCTTGTGCATAAAAAGAGAACACAATTTACTTTCCGTGTCTGCTTTTTGTGGTATGAAGGAATTCTTGGTTCTTGGCATTTAAGGATTTGTGGCTTAAGAAAATTACTTCTTCCTCTCCCTTTCTTTACCAGACTTGTCTAGGAGGATACACTTACTCACAGGTAAACTACTCTTCAAAGCAAAATGGATGTTTTATTCCTGTAGCAAGGCATCTGTTTTACTGTGGAGTTAACAATGAGTAATATAGTGTGACCTCTGTGTGTGTGCTGCAACACATCCTTCAGGTTCAAGTTCCTGCACCTCCTTTCCCTCAGGGAAGCCTTAACTGCTCACCTGCCTTGTTCCTGTGTAGAACAATAGTCACTGGGTTATAACTTTGTGCCTTCTAATAGCCTAGTAATTTTAATTGCATAATGGTGATGTGTGGTTTCAAATTAGTCATAACTTTGGTGCTGGTTTTAATGAGATCTTCAGCTGTCTTCCCAGAGGGGAAGGCTTTGCTTTCCCAAGAGTGGCATGCCTCTTCCCGGGAGAAATGAATTTCTACTACTAAGGCACAAAAAGGTGAGGTAGTAAGGGGAGTGTTGGTTACAGGGAGAAGGGAAATAGCTGTGAGTCTCTAGTGCTGGAGAGCATTCTGATAATGCCAGAGCCTATGGTGTGCCAGGCATGTGCCTGTATAAATAGTTGCATTGGCACGTAGTGTCATTGCAATCATGCTTGCTTTGAGAACAGCTAAATGTAATAGTCTTGTCTCCCATGGCATGGAGTAACGTAGCTCAGAGATACCTTCACATGACTTCAGACATGAAATAATTACACTGGTGTTTAATGGCTATAAAATCAGTTGGTCTGCCCCCCACGAATTTATAACTACAGTGGATTTGTTATGTCAGTCAGGTCATAGTGAAGATTGGTTGTTGGATAGAATCATAGAATGGTTTGGCTTGGAAGGGACCTTAAAGATCATCCAGTTCTAAACCCCCTGCCATGGGAAGGGATGCTTCACTTTGAGGGAGGTTCCTCAAAGCCCCTTCCAACCTGGCCTTGAGCACTGCCAGGGAAGCCACAGCTTCTCTGGGAAGCCTGTGCCAGTGTCTCATCACCCTCACAGTAAAGAACTTGTTCCCTATATCTAGTCTGAATCTACCTTCTGTCAGTTTAAAGCCATTACCCATTGTCCTATCACTACTTGCTGTCATAAAAAGTCTGCTATTTCTCTCATCATAGGTACATTTGGAAGGAGGATCTGTTTGACCTGCTGGCCAGGAAAAGGGTGTCTACACTGGGGGTGTACTCCAAGGCTAAATCTTAGAGTAGGGATGCAAGATCCTCTCCCAGCTGAGGTCTTTCTGGTGATCTTTTCACAGCTGAATCACAGGGGTTTAGTGCAAACCCTGGTAAATAGGTGTTAATAGTTCAGGCCAGCTTGCAAATAAAGTATCTTGACTTTCTCAGGAAAAGTAGCCTTAAATACACGCACCAAACCTTGTAACTCATGCAAGGTAACTATAAAGAGTGTTTTTGGATTACTGTGGACTATCTTTAATAAAACATAAAGGTAGTCTTAAGGCTTCAGTCCACAGACAAATTTTGCCTTCCTCTTTGCTATGAATTAAAATATGAGATTTGAAAAATATTAATATGCTTTATATAGCTTATGTGCATAAGCAATGATTTCTTTTCAGAAGTGATTCTTCCATATTCCCCAGGCTCTCCAGAACCACAGAACTCTTTGTCCACAGCGAGTTTTGCGCATTGAATACCTTTTATTAGAGTAACGCATCTGCTTGAAAAAATACAGCTTTGAGGCTTAACAGGCTCTGAGATACTTTCAAGTGTGTTTCTAGTCTCTCATATAAGACACCATCTCTGCTTTTGGCCTGTCTTGCCTATGCCCTTAGACCATGACAGCAAAAGCACTAGTGTGTTTCTGAACACTGCAGAATTATTTTGATCACCTGAGGATGACTAAAGCTTCTATCAATCTAACCTTGGGTGGTAACTGTCTTGTCTGAAATATAAGTCTGTTGGCAGTGTGGAAAATGATAATTGGCTTTGGTGTGTATGATTACCTGTTCACTGGATTTCTAGCAAAGATAAGCTCTAAGGATTGCAGTCTTTTGCCCATAAGCTCAGCTAAACTGGGTAACTTTCATTCCTTTAATAGCCTTATTCTCTCTTTCATACAGAAGAAATTCTGGTTTTCAGCAATCAGTTAATAGCTGGCTCTTAGAGTTGCAGAAGCTGTGTTGTTTTTAGGCTAGATGACAACCATTCCCTTTCCTGTTTTTCTGCTAGATCAGTAAAACAGACCTTATCAAGGGTCACTATCCTTACAGAGTGTTTTCAGGGTAGGTAAAGCACTTGCTTGTATATAAAGTGCTGCAGGATTTGAAACGTGCCTATAAAGCAGAGTATGTAGTCAGTAACGGTTACTTCCATTTCCACTGGCCATAATGACCCAATTGCATCAATACTGCAGAACAGTTACTGCCAGTGACCAGTTAGTCTGGGTACCTGCAGTGAGGTTTTCCTGTATAGGCTTCCAGCTGTGAAGGATGTGCCGTAAGTGGTGCCTTCTGCTCCCGCCTCATCAAGGCGATTCGTTTTGTTGAGTTGCCTTGATTGTGGTTTTGTTCTGAGATGCCTGTTAGCTCTGGACTGAGAAGTCATTGTCCCCACAGCATCATTGTGATTCTGCAAAATGGTAGAGATGGAAAAGATCTCTTGGTGGTTGGCAGGTCCCATCAGCAATGTGATAGACATTTACTGCGGATTTGCCTGTAGGATTTGAACATGCCCATACATAATGCGTAGGTTTCAACTGGTATAGCTAAAGGTGTGATTATATAAAGTGACAGTTGTTCTGAGATTGGATTGTACTATTTTTTTTGGTGTGAAGTATATGCATTTAAGTGAACCTGGGACAAGCCTTACTTAAACAACACAAACCAATTTCATCTCAGACCATTGTTTTCACATACAGTCTGAACTGACCAGGTTTAAAACTAAAATCTGTGCTTTCTGCTCATTTAGGCAGCACCTGCTCTATGAGTGGGAAGTTTTTCTCCTGCCAAAGGCAGAAAAAGCCCTTCAGACCACTTAGTGGTCTACTTAAAATAAATGTTGGAAAAAAATCATGTGGGTTTAGGTACTGTTAAAGCAAGCTGTGGGCCATATTTGTCCTGCAGACATGAAGGTTTCTACCTTTGCTGCCCTTCCAGCATGACCTTGAGTCAGTGTTGGTTCCAGGCTGGCCAGGGGCTCCTGTGATTTGGCTGTGATGGTAGAGCAGTCAAACCCAAGTGCTGCTTTTCTGAAAAGAGTTTTCTGTACCAGGAATTTGCCTCCCATGCTTAGAGTTGGTCAAGGGCTGATGCCAGTCTCGTGAAGTCATGGTGCAGCAGTGGGGTCCATAATTGGGGTGAAAGTAACCAAAATCACACCTTAACGTTTAGTAGGCATAAAAGAAATGAGAAGTAGACAATCTACAGGTATGGACAATAAATCACTGATTTTCAGCTTGGCTTTCTTATTGGTCAGCCTCATGAAAAGTTCCTCTGGCCATATGCTGTTTGTGCCTCAGAACTGTCTACTTGAGCAATGAGTAACGCTGTTTACTTCATAAATATTGTTTTCATCCAATGGCACAAGCCAGCTTAGAAAGAGAACAAGGCCCGTTGAACAGGCAAGCTGCCTGATCAAGTTCACTGTTAATACATTCTTAAATGGTTAATTTAACTGTTGATAGATCCAGCTCATAAACTAGTCCAATGTATGGATGCAGCTGCTCAGATGCAACACAGGTGAGGTTTTTACGGTAACGATGGGCCATCTGATGCATTCCTTAAGGAAAGGGAGACTGACGAGTGAATTGCCATGTGTGAGAGACTGGACATCTAATCCAGCTAAACTCCTATAATGATCTGTTATGGGCCTGGTCAGCTTAAAAGACCCAAGAAACACAACTGTTTGAACAGTTGATTGAAATGCTTGGTGAGCATGCTGTGTTGATGGCAGTATTTCCTGTTGTTCCCCACTGTTTTGAGCTGCATTATAGAGACTGCTTCGGATCGATCCGTCTCAGGATCTTAACTGTTAATTTTATTTTTGGCTCTGTCTGTGCTTGGTCTTTCCCAGCCATCTCCCCAGATGCGCCTCAGGAGACTGGGGCTTCTAATTCTGTGGTTATCACCAAGACTATTGCTTTTGCTTGACTTTCCTCTCTGGGGACAAGGCCAAGCACCCACACTTCCTGCGTGGATGCTGGGACCAGGTGGCACATCAAAAAATAGCTGGTATGGTATGATAAAGGAAATCTGCAGCAAGAAGAAAATCAAGATAAAATACGCAGTGCTAAGTGACAGCAAGGCAAGCAGCAGAGAAGATTCATATCATAAGTTAAAAGAGTTCAAAATGAGCAAAACAAGAGAAATTTCCAACACAAGAGATTCAAGATGCTCCAGGGGGTGAGTCATGAAAGGGTCAGGTGATGACAGCCTCTGCACTTGGGAGACCGAGGAAGAAATGTTGCAGTAAGACTGCACAGCGTCTCCTGACTTCTGCACTGCTTACTCAGCAGCAAAGATAGAGCTTCCATCAGCCCTTCTTTTCCTGTGATAAGTAAAAATCAGTTATTACAGAGAGATAGAATGCAATGAAATATTTAACTCCTGTAAGAAACATGATTTTTTTTTAAGAATGTAAAACATACCTTCTTTGCACATAAGCCCTCCTTCAGAAGCAGCGTTCAAGATTTGTCTTGGGATTTTAGTCAGCGTTCTGAAATGCTGATTCTTTAGTCTCTATTTACAAATCTCTGCTGTTTGGTTTGTAATCCAGTTTGTAAAACTAAAAGCTGTCCGAGATATTGTTTAACTGACATCATACAAAAATATCTCAGGGTGGGTTATCTGTGTGATTTTATTTGCTGGTTCTCATTGGTGTATCCAGTAAGATCTCAAGAGCAGAACTTTGATTTGGGAAGTACTCAGTTATTATGTAAGCAAGTGGTTTTAGGCTGGAAATTACTTGCTACTTTCCCTTTGTTTTCAAAGGTAATTTTACTGCCAATGGTATGCCCTGTTTGTGTTAAGTATCAGTAAAAACTCCAGTGCCTATCCAGTATTTCACATGTTGAGTATGGCTGTAGTTGAAAGATGATTGAATTTGCCAGATTGCCAGGGCTTCTGCTGCTTCTGAAATCCGCTTCTCCTAGCTCAAGTTCTCTGGAGCAAGCAGGCTTACTGGGACTTTACCTTGGAGTTCACCAGTACTTCCCTTCAAAGACTGTCTCATGTCTTTGTTAGCCTTCTGAAAATGCCTTAGCAACAAAACCTGCAATTATTTACACTACAAAATAATTTTGTGTAGTTTAAGCTACTTATTATTCACCTTTATGTTTGGAAAGAGTAGCACAGGCAGGCTCATGTGGCAGACCAGCTTGACAGGCTGCCTGGAGAACACGGGAGCCAGAACTGCAGGAGCGTTTTGAGTGGTCCCCAGGTTATCTGCAGAAGCTATGGCAAGCATCAGGCCCGAGTAATAAATAATTGCTATTTACTGTTCCTTCAGTGTTTTGACCCACAGTTACCATTCTCTAGGCATTGCCAAAAAGCCCAAACTGTCATTGTTTGTATAGAAAATACTGTTGGTATTTTCTAATGCAAGAAAGCCAACGTTCTCTTGCATTAGAACCAACATGCACTGAAACTGCAGAAATCCTTTGGTTGAGCATATGTCTGCAATTTGAGACTGAAAAGAAAAAAGGGAAAACAGGAAAGTGAAGAAACATCTGATGCTCTCTTCCCACTGTGAACAGATTTCTTAGTACTTCTTCCTTGTTCATCTTCAGGCTTTTGGAGGTTTCAGACAGGCTTGGTGTGTGAGTCATACTGCTGTCCAGCAGTATGGTATTAACTCAAGGAAATTAAGAATATGGTATACTAGCACTGTAATTGGAAATTTGTGACCCACACCTGACACTGTAATCCATGTAATGTATTTATTTAGTAGGGGAGAAGGAAATCTGCGTGTTTGATTAACTCTTTAATTCTGAGGCTCCTCTGAAATGAATGAAAATTTCTTTGATTTTGGTTTGGTTTTGTTTTGTGTTTTTTTTTTTTTTTTTACATAGACCCAATAAATTCTTTGATAAACCAGGTCTTAATGGGCAGGAAACCTGCAGCACTAGGGAATGAATGGTGGAGTGAGGAAAAAATTGTAGTGTTTGAAAAGGAGCTGTCTTATACCTGGTGGCCATAGACAAGCATTTGGCAACCAAATGTAGTGAAATCCTGCAAGGAAAGAGTAGTTAAGTGAACATCTTGGCAGCAGTGGCTGGAAGTCAGAATTTCAAGTGCAGCCACAAGGACATGATTTTTGGCAGTGTGTTTCTGAGGAGCCTTGCAGTTGGAGGAAAGGTGTGTGAATTCTGTCAGAGGTTTGGAAAGCTCTTAAAAGCAGTTTAGACAGCGTGCTTGTTTCCTGCTCTGCGGCAAAGTGATTCTGGTGCTACTGTAATGTAACACTGATGAAACCAGTACCTTCAGCCTGGGAAGTGAGATGGATTTGCTCAAGGGGCACTTTATTTTGTGGACTTAACTAAGCAGTCTGCAGACACCTAAGTGCTGTGCTGAGTTTAGATAAAAATATTGATGTCTTTCATATTCTTTCCGCTTCTGATGAGCAGACCCTTATGGTGATTTGCTGAGGGAAGGCGAGGCAGATAACCAGCAGGGTAGATGAAAGAAGGAAGGATGCTTTGTGACCTGTGCAGGCTAGAGTTAGTCCTCACCATCCTGTTCATGGACAGTGAGGGACAGAAAGGAACTCATTACTCCTTGGGTTGACCCCAGGTATTAAATTGGACCAGATGAATGAAGTACAAGGCATCCTCTTACATTGAGGCTGAGTTACTCTGTATTGACTGGAAGTCCCTGCTTGGGGGACAGCATTTGAATAGAACATCCCCCCACCCCCCATCAAGAGGATCAGTACTTCTGTGATGGCAGTGTACCCAATTCCTTTATGTGCAGGATGTTATGATGTGGTCAGTTTGGCATCACAGAATGGTTCATTTTATATGTATAAATGTATGCTACCTATATATAGTTTTCTGCAGGCTGTAGGTTAAAATTCTTCTTCTACAAGTGCTAAGGTAAGCAAAATGTAAAATTCAGGAAAGCTCTTTAAGTATTTAGAGATTTAATTGTGATCGCTCTCTGTCTTGGTCACATCAAAGCTCTGAATGAAAGCTTCATTTGATACTGGCGATGGGAACAACCTTGAAAGTGCAGCTGAGGACTTTGTGACTGTGTAGGACTTTCAATCATGACCACAGTCTAAAAGTACATCCCTATTCCCCATTAAAACTTGAAGGTGGTCTTTTAGTTATATGTTTAGAAATATCCATTCACCTACCTTTGGTTAATTCTTGAGCCTAAGATCGACATATATTGCTGAGGGAAAACACTGGCCATATGGAATCACAGTGAGCAGTCCCAGAGCAGACAAGAACATTTCACAGGCCACTGCCCAGCAATGAGTGAAACAATGAAATTTCAGTGCAACTAAACACAGCTACTAATGAAGTGGCCGGGAGGGCTCCCATTGTTTGTGCTGTTCCTATGGCAAGTTGTTATGCATTTGTTTGTGGTATTGCTTCAGTTTCCATCTTTCAGTTTGAGAAAGTAGGAGTGAAGTTACGTCCTCTATTAGCAGCAATCCATTTACATGATAAAGGGGTATTCGCCTAGTAATATTAAGTAATCTGTTTTAATTTGGATTTTAAAATATAAAATAAAATCTAAAATATGAAATAAAATATAATAGTCGTATTTATCTATTATCCTTACAAACAACACTGCAGTTTATCTATTATCCCTAAGAAAAAAAACCTGCAGTACTTGTGTTTGGCTTCCCCCTCCCGGATTTTTTTCTTCTTAGGCTACAGGAGGCATGGCAATTCATCCTATATAATCATTTTGCATTTTCGTGGTGATTGTTGGCAGTTGTGGAGCTGTTCCCTGGCAGTTTTGTTCATTATGCAATTAACAACCATCAAAAATCTATACTGCAAGCAGCAGGTGTTATATTAAGTATATGCAACCAATAATAATAATAAAAGTCCTCTTCAGACTGATATAGATCAGAAGCAGAACAAAAACTTACTCGGAGCAATGAGGTTTTCCCCCAGTCACAGCAGAAAGTGTTTTATCAAAGCTGCAGATCTACCACTGCCTGTTTTGATTCTGTTTCCCAGCACTGGTTCGTTTCTGTTAGTGATTTATTCTTGTTATGAGTAAAAAGCAGCCTTCTGTTTGTCTTCGGAAGGCAGCTTCTCTCCATCACCGGCGTTTTGGGTAGGGTTTTTCTAAAGATAAAAAGGCATGTTCTTAAGCAGACAGCTGAACTGTTCTGCTTTTCTCGTTTCTACATGTGTTAAGTCCCAAAATGCATGCCTTGCTACCAGACAGAATACCGCATTCAGTATGTGTTCGAGTGACTGCAGCATGACTGGAGCAATTTTGGAGTTGCTGGAATCAGTGGAAAAGGCAGCTTTGGTGGGCTTTGGTTTCCTTTTTATTTTCTTTCGAATTACTTGATGAAAAAATGATGTATTTCAATTATTTTGGGAAGGTTGTTGGTGCTGAAATATTCATTTTAATCATTAAATATTTAAAACTGTGATGGCTGTTTGGAGTTTAAACTGTTCTTTCTAGCCTGCACCAGCATATAACTCGTTCATTAGAAGAACAGACGACAAGATGAAATGTGTTATTTCAGCCCTGTTATTCACTGACAGTGTCAGGAATGAAGTATTTTGGGCTTGCATAATTTCTTACTTAAATCGGCTAAGAGGCAGGAGAGAACGAGCCTGCACAATCTAATAAAGGTATATAACTAGAAAAAATACATGGAATTGCCATTTAAAAAAACACCACCACAAAACATTCAACTAGAGCAGAAAAGGAAACCCCAAACCAAAACTGTATTGGTTTACAACTGCACCCCAGTTAGCATAAATGCAGTGAGTAAACTAAAAAAGACAATTTAATAGGAGTGTAGGTTTTTGCTATTCCTCTGTGCTTTTATCAGTGCCATCCCAGTCATAGAAATGAAATGGTGGCTTTACGAAGATGGGAGCTGTACTGATGGCACTTGTTAGGATGTGAAGTGCTGTGTATGGACATTTCTATTTGGAGACAGAGCATCCTATTTTTATATAACTGATCCTAGAGAAATTTGACAAAGATACATTTGTTCCAAAATAATTTCCTGGTAAAATGGATATATGTGTGCCTATCTTTGTGCTTTGCTTTATTAAAATAGGTGAAGTTGTAATTTGAAAACTAGGCATTTGTAAGAGGGGTTGGGTGTCCAGGAGTCCTTAGCTGGGTTTGACCTAGATATATAGTTGTATAATAACGAGAGGCTCTAAGCTGTGTATTGCTAAGCCTTAGCAAGCCACCTCCAAAAACATAGCCATGAGTCTTCCCTGGTCACATGTGAACAGTTTGCAGCCATCTGGCAACAGCCTAAGAAAGCTGCAAATTCGCCTTTTTCCAGTGCAAGGCACCTGCCTGGAGTGATGTACAGGAGGATTTTGCTCAGTTTCTCCTGCTCGAGTGGCCTCCATCCTTACCATGGCACCAGTATAGGGAGTTGTGCTCCTGGGGTGAAGGAGGGATCCTGTGTGGGTGCTCTCAGTTTGGTAGGAGGAGGCTGACTTTTAACAGGAGGCAATGGGGTGTGTTTATAGCTCAGGGTAGGTGTTAGCTGGCAGTGGCTCCATGGCATGTGGGAGAAATAAAGGGGAAAGGCAAACTGCAGATCTTTCGCATGGCAGTTGTTTTTAGGCAGGCAGTGTGTATGTAAACTTGCAAGTGAATAAAGCTGTCCTGCTCCTCCTGTGTGAGTACCTGTCCAGAGCAAACCGGCTGGTTTGCAGGACTGCAGAGGTGGGTAAAAATTCATTGGGATTTCCAGTGAAAGAGGAGACTTAGAACATAAGTTAATGGTGTTTTTTTTTAATTTGTCCTGGCTATGCTATGCACTTCCCTATGCTGAGGTTTGACCACCACATACACCTTGAAATGTAGCCTGAGTTTTAGCTAGCCTGCAGGATCCAAGCAGTTTGTCTCTCTACTTACCTCCGTTTCAAAGAAACGGTTGAGAGGGGCTCTTGATTCTGCTGACTCAGATGTTCCAGTGTCTCTGGACCTTGGCCACAGTCACACAGACCTGTGTCTGGGAACAAGGCGCAGGCAGCGCTGCCTGGGCTGTGTCTGTGCACTGGGGATGCTGGCTGTGCCGAGCTATTGGGAGGCGGGGGCAAGCTGAGCTCCAGCGCAGCTCTCAGAGCAATGAGAAGAAGCTTTGACCGCCAGAGGTGGACAGGCACCACTGGGCTTTTGTGTATGACAGGTATCCTCAGAAGGGGACGAACCCAGTCCTTCTAAAATGGGATATTTTTCATGAAGGAACTCTTAGATATAATTAATGCAAACATGTTTTCATGGTATGTGTGCCACTCTCTGCTCTTTACTAATGTCTAGTAAAAGTACTAATGACCTCCAAATAACCACTGAATGCCAATCTCGTGTCTAATTTTTTTTTTCAGATTAATATTTTAATATAAACCAGTGAAGATGACACCAAAACACGAAAAACAAGTAAGTCATGTCTAAGCTTTAATAAAAATTATTCTAGATTAGTGGTGGTGGATTGAATTTCATTAAGTGTCACACGGACCAGGAAAGATTGGTTGTATTCTTCATGCCTTTAATTGCAAGGGTACAGAATGCTCTGGAGTGACAGCTCCTTCTGCTAAAGGTTGATGGAAGAATCAAATATTCACTGGATCAGAGATAAGGCAAGTGAGTGACTGCATAAGAGACTCGGATACTGAGACAGGGTAAAAGAATTTGGATTTCTCTATTCTCTCCATCAGTCCTGTAGGACATATTGGGTGGAGCTGGGTCTGAACTCTGATGAGCAGATACATGCACCACAAGAATCACACTTGCACATTCACTTTTGCTCAGTCCCAATGAGCATTAAAAGTTGCAACAGATTTTGTCCCAGTCATAGCAGACTTGATACTCAGCATGTGTGAAGATGCCAACATTCCCATCATGAAAAGCCCCACATTCTGTGTGGTTGATCCTTTTGGTAACAGGCAGCCTGATGAGAAGCTCTGTTTTCCTCAGAAGCTTTGTGGAAAATGACTCCTTGGGGGTTATTGACTAATCGTATGTGTAACCGTGGCACCATGGAGCATGAGGTTATCACCTGATATGGTCCTGGGCACAGAGATTTGAATTAAAATGCAGCTGGAATGATTGATGCAAATAATCATCTAGTGAGAGATTATTTTTGCCCTCCTCCTTTTGGTAGATTCCCTCCCGCCCCCATATTAAAAATAGATGTTTCCATGTCAGATTTCCTGTTTTCCTAATAGGAAAATGTTAAAAATAGGCTTCTCAGAAACACAGGTTTTATGGTTAAATTCTATGTAATATAGCTTCTGGCTTATTCTTGTCTCTGAGCAATCCTTGCATTGTGCCAAGCCTAACTATTCTATGATTCTATTTCCAAGAGGAGAAGGAGGTGCTGGGGGAAAGATAAAGTCTTCTTCTTGTGTTTGCTTCAGCTGCTTTTATGGTGTATTCTTAGAATGGTAGAATGGCTTGGGTTGGAAGGGACCTTAAAGATCATCTACTTCCTACACCCCTGCTACAGGCAGGGACACCTTACACTAGAGCAGGTTGCTCCAAGCCCCATCCAACCTGGCCTTGAACACTGCCAGGGATGGAGCAACCGCAACTTATCTGGGCAACTTGTGCCAGTGCCTCACCACCATCGTAGTAAAGAATGTTTTCATAATATCTCCCCTCTGTCAGATTAAAGCCATTCCCTGTTGTCCTGTCCCTACATGCCCTTGTGAAAAGTTTCTCTGCAGATTTCTTGTAGGCCCCCTTTAGGCATTGGAAGGTTGCTGTAAGGTCCCCCAAAGCTGTCCCTTCTCCAGGCTAAACAATCCCGGGTCTCTCAGCCTGTCTTCCTTTTGAGGCAAATCCAAATGGGAACATTTCAGTTTTCAGTGCTTGCCTCTACATGACCTCAGTGCTGCCCTTGTTCTTTGCACAGGGCTGTAGCCATAAGGGAGTAGGTGTAAACCAGGCCTGGGGATCACTTTGACCGTTTTGTCCTTTATGTGTGACTCAACTACTTGGACTGCTCCAAGCCTTTAGGACAGGGTATGAAAATACCACAAGTGCCATGTCTGAACTGGCTGGTTTAGCCAGGTATTAAAAGGCACATCCAGCCAGAGAAGCTGCTCTGCTGATTCATGCATGTTAAGTAGTTACAACTACTTTTTGTGGAAGTTAACAACTACTTTTGGGGCAGATTTGAACTTCTTCATGAGCACGCTTGGGCCAGTGTGGCTGCTGGGATTCATACCAAAACTACTGCACTAGAAGTTTGGATCGGAAGTGTTTTGCTTATGAACATGTTATGCTTATCTTCCAGTTTCCAGGAAGAAGGGATAAATGGAGATAACACTTTTCCCAGTAGATCTATGTTGAAACTGTGTTGTGTCCAGTACAATAGGCCTCTACTACCAAGCTTGGACACTTTGAACTGTCAGCAGTATGTTCTGGGTTTGAGAGAATTGTTTGGCTTATCATTATGGAACATGTATCATTCTTGAATGCATGACAGGCATGCAGGTATTGCGCCCCTCAAAAACCAAAACCAAACCACCTCCAAACCCCCAAAATGGGGAGTATAAGTAATGTGGCAAAATAGCGAGATCTGTAACTCTGGAAAAACCATGCAGAACTGGGTGGGGGGAAGATGACCTTGAAAAGGACTGCAGCTGATGAAATAAAAAGTCCCTGGAACCTTGGCTATCTTTGGGCTTTGCTTCCCAAGTTGTACAGCTACCCTGCGGTGCGGTCTTGTAACAAAAGATTAAGTTAGTCTTCATGTGAACTGTGGGAGGAAGAGGTCAGTCTCACCTCCTCTAGGTGAGTGGTGCATTACTTGAAGATAGACATGCCTATTGAGAGTATCCTAGTTTTTATAGCAAGATGGGGAGAAAGGCATTTATTACCCAAAACTGCTGTAATCTGGTGACAGAGACCAGTGAACAGGATGGACTAGGCATAGAACAACAACTGTTTGGACCCTGACGTAGCTTATATATAATATTGGCCTTCACAAGCTTATTTTTATAGGGATAGGGAACCATAAACACCTTTTCTGGCAGTGTATCTGCATCTATACTGGGCAATTGGGGCTGCTTTGATTAAATCAGTACTGTTGTCCCAGTGGAGTCTTGTATCCTGGAGAAGGCTTTAAAAGGTTAAAAGAAGAGGCGTAGTCTATGTATGCAATGCCACTGTTTCAGAGCAGAGAAACTGTAATGGGAATTGGAATTAATGCTTCCTGGATTTGAGATGTTTATTAGAGGAAGTAACCATGGATCTTGAGAAAGGCTGTACATTTTTGGGGGTTGTTTTCTAATTGCTTAATGTTTATCTTGCTTCATTCTGAACTCAGTGTCAGTATTCTTGGGTAAATAACGGAGGTGGGAGGGAGAGAACTACCCAGTCTGCTGCTGAAATCCTGGTGTTTCAAACTGGAGCTCACGGTGACTGTGCATGAGGAATGCCATTTGCTGAGGTGCTCTGCCGTACCATGAATCGCTTTGGCTTTTGGCTCAGTGCTATGCTGCCTGGACACCTGCCTGCTGTAGTATGTACAGCAGTACCTTTTCCTCAATAGGTAGAGTCTGAAGGGTGCTTGACTTCTTCAGTATTGAAACTGGTGACCATTTAACTGGAAATTAAAAATGTAGAGTTTTTTTGTGTGGATCATCTCGTCTGGAATGCTTGACAAGGTAACCTGTAGCTGGCCCGCAACATATCCAATAGCAACTTTTAACCATAATACTTTGGTGTAACAGAGGTTGAAAGAAGCATTTTACTTCTAAGATTATTTTGATTCTGTGCGAAGGAGGGGGTTATAGGAGGTTACTTGGAAATGAAGTGATTTGGGGAACCTGAACAAAAGGAAATGCAATGAGGAGTCAGTAGGGCAGTAGATAAATGGAAGGAGACTGAGGTTAGGTTATGATTAGGCTACCTGCAGATGTGACTTCTGGGCTGCAGTAATTGAAGGGGAGAGCCGTGCCCCATTTGAAGCTTCCTGGCATAATTCCTCTTCTCCCACTTGCAGGACTGATGCATCTAGTGTACAGGAAAGAAAAGAAAGTATGTTTGGAAGTAGCTGCAGCTCTGGTGAAGAGTGGGACATGGGGAAGTAGGAGGCTGGGGAGCACAAAAACTTGGGAGAATGTGAAACCACAGATATGAAAAGATGTTATGGTGGGTCTGAAAGTATGTCATACCTATATATGTGTGCTAAATATGATAGACAGGGAGGCAAGCAGAAAAAACAGCAACCAACAAATGGCTTCCTCTCCTGTGTTCAGCATATTGCTCAGGATCTGCTCAGGAGGGGGAATAACTTCCTCGTGGTTCCCACTAGCACTTTTGTAAAAGTAAAGGCATGATCCTTAGCTGGTAGACGTGATTAGAGCTCTGTTCATTTGTTCCTCTTGTGCCATGTTGGCAAGGGGTTAAAAAGCTCCAGAGGAGAATCAGGCCTCTAGCACTTTTCAGTAAGGAAAAAAAGCAGCAGAGGTGGTGGGAGCTGTTCAGATGGGCTTCCTTTGGTGAGGTGCTCATGACACACACTGAGAGGGTATCCAGCAATAATGCAGAAAACACCCCTTCAACTAGAAGCTGGGCTAAGTGAGATAAAACCACGAGCTGTATCCAGCCATCAGGCCACATCTGGAAATCAGAGCGACAGATTATTTAATCCAGGATGTGAACACATCTCTGCCATGCGCAGAGTGCAGTGAACACTCAGGAAAAATACATCTTTTCCTTTCAAGGCTGTCGTTGTTCTCCTGTCAGTCCATGGAAGGTTGCTGCTGGTGGCACACTGAAGTGTGTGGGGGGGGAGAAGACTTGGCTGAAAAGTGAAAGGTTGACTTGACGTCTGCAGTTTGGACATGGAGAGACATGTTTTCAGAGCCTTCTAGTTCAAGATTTCTTGATTTATGCAAAGATGTACTAAAAAAGCATGTTATTTACCAGAGACACTGTCATTCCTCCCACAGTCAGTTCCTGTACCTGAAGGTCTTGTGCAGTGCCTTTCTCTTGTGGGGGAATGTATCGACAGGTTAAAATGATAAGCTTTTCTTTAGCTGAGACATTAAGCGGTTGGCTTAGTTCTTTGGGTGAATAGCTTGTTTATGCAACTGGAGAATGGCAGTCTGTTCATTTGATCGGTAAACAGCAGGTAGTTAAGCATACTTTCAACCTTTGTATTTTAAAGAAACCTTTTCCGTCTTAGTATAAACATACAGATTTAGTAGGCTTTTTGGTTTTGTTTTTTAATACAGTACAAGTTTTCACATGGTCATTAGCTGAGGAGTCTCAGAAGCATTTAATTCTTCAGCCTTTTCCAATTCCTATTAGTGGTGCTTGGTCACATTACAGTAATGCCCACAGGTCTATCTCACTCCTTCGGGATCCCTCTAACTTACTGTGTAAATGTAGGAATTACAAGGAAATGGACTAGATATGACAACCTCTACAACAAATACTCTATATTGACCTCCCAAAATGAGAAGTTCTGGTTTGCAGTGCAGCTGTGTTGCTTTCTTGGTCAGGTTGATGGGCAGACTGGGAGAGAAGTGTCCAGATCCTGCACCCTTGGTTCTACTCCATGGCTTAAGTTCCTGGTGTATTAGGAAGTATATGCAGCAGAGGGGAAAGATTCATCCCCTTCCACACAACATCTGAGACACTGGGCTTGAGATCTTGATTCCCTGTGTGAAATCTGTGTCTGGGGCAGTTAATAGTGCTACATCCTTTTCCACTGTTCTGGAGCAAGTCATTTGGGGTGTAGAAAAAGGCACTTCTTTGGATCCTCGTGGAGATACTGAGCAGTTACCTCATATCCCTGAAATAAATGATAAAAAAATAAAGTGCCATAGTGGCATAAATGATAAAAAAAAAAAAAGATAAAAAAAAAAAAGTGGACATAAATGATAAAAAAATAAAGTGCCTAAAAAAAGGACCAAATAAAATGTTATATGTAATATTGGGTACATGGGCAGGTTGTAACACATTTTTTGTGAACACTGATTGCAAGTGTGGGAAAATCCTAAAATACCTGCCTGGTTCTTTCATACACGTGTGACTTTGAACATTAGGTTTTTGGTTTGTAGCTACTGAGACCACCATATCTCCCATGCATGAAACATGTCTGACTGTTCACAGTATTACTTAATCTGAAATATTCCTCTTAAGATAGAAATTTGGCAAAGAATTTCCCAGTCATGTGGTGTAGCTCAGATGATTCATTGCTTTTTGCTTCTCCTTTTATAGGGTTGCAAGATTCAATAAAGCAGCAGTTCAGCTTTTAATCTGAGCACAGCAGTTTGTGGAAGAGCAAAGCAATCAAGAGAGTCTTTCAGGCTGCCTTTGTCTTCAGAAATTAATTGCTTGATTTTTATTATGCACTTGCAGGAATTTGTAACTGTCTTGGTGAGAGACCCCAGGACGCACAAAGGAGACTCATGGCATTCTTACGTAGACTATGAGATATTTATTCATGTAAGTATAAAAATGTCAGCACAGATTCCTAGGGCTCTTATTGCTGCTTCTGTCCAAGCCAGGGTTCTCTTTGGGGTATTAATGGAATTTCTATATACCACTTCTGGGAGGCTGGAGGATATTATTGTCCTTTTAACAACTGAGACACAGTGGAACAGGTAAGGTGGGTTGGCCAAAGGCCATGCAACAAGTCTGGCAGAGCTGGGAGTTGAACCTGCTATTGTGTTCACGTGTGCACTCTGCAATGCCTTGCAACAGACTATTCTTAGCTTGTTGTTCTGGTATTCATGGAAGAAAGACTTTATTTTCAAGTAATTATCTGGTTATTTGTACTTTAAATTATCCTTAGTTCTTTTTGCCAAGTTAGTTGGTTGCTGGGGTTGTTTTCTCTGTGCCTTGATATTCATGTTATGCTAGTTTAAGGGTGCTTGGATATGTCAAGTAACTACATTTGGGTTTATCCTTGTAGTCCACCATTTGTTAATGGGAATGCACTTGGAATTATGGTTCTTGTGTGTTTTAAATCTGTCCTCTATACTGTGTTGTTTTGTTGATTATTCTTCTTTGGTGAATGATGTGCAGAAGGAGTTATCCTTGTTTTCTAAATCTAGTTCCAGAGATTTTAAATGCAATGTAAAAAAAAAAAAAAAAAAAAAAGCGTATCTGCTATCAGGTGAGGGATTTGAGAACACTGAGTTACATGGTTAATGGTTGGCACAACACCAAAAGCATTTCTTTCCTGTGTGGGAGGGTTCAACATTCAGCATAATGACAGCAAGCAGTCAAATGGTGGTTTATTTGATGTCCATCTTACCTTTCTCCTGTGTGGCAGAACTCTTAAGTCTTGTGATGTGGTTTAGTACTGGTTCCAAAGCAGTTTGACTTCTGGTAAATAGGAATTCTGTAGATGTGGTGGGGTGGGTGCTGTGTTACTGTTTCAGAGGTATTGGTGTCTCTTATTAGAAGTATGTTATGGCTTTCTCAGGGGCTGCTAAGCTGCAGTGGTGTCATTTAGACTCAGTGTGTTGTGGTTTAACCCCATCCAGCACCTAAGCACCACACAGCTGCTCTCTCACTCCCCCTGCCCCAGCAGGATGGGGGAGGAGAATTAGGAGGGTGAGAAAACCTGTGGGTTGAGATAAGAACAGTTTAATAATTGAAATAAAATAATAATAAAAATGTGAAAAAGAAAACACAGAGAAATAAAACTGAAGAGACAAGTGATGCAAATGAAAGCAATTGCTTACTACCAACTGACCGATACCCAGCTGGTCCTTAAACAGAGGCCCACCAGCCAACCTTCCCTATAGCTTATTGCTGAGCATGATGTTATATGGTATGGAATATCCCTTTGGTCCTGGCTGTGTCTTCTCCCAGCTTCTTGTGCACCCCCAGCCTACTCTCTGGTGGAGGTGGAGTGAGAAGCAGAAAAGTCCTTGATCCTATATGAGCACTGCTCAGCAATAGCTAAGTCATCTCTGTGTTATCAAACACTGTTTCCTGCAGAAGTCCAAACCATAGCCTCCTCCTAGCTACTATGAAGAAAATTAACTCTACCCCAGCCAAAACCAGCACAGTGTTACATGATTCAGCACTGGGCATCTCTGAGGCTGAAAAGCATCCACTCAGCTTCCTACCAGTACAATGCCAAGTGCTTTCAGAGACCAAGTCTCTAGGTTAGTTCTGCCATCTCCAGGCTTCTCCATGCATTCAAAATCTTGGGTCTGCCAGCTGGGTTGCACTTCTGCCCAGCTCTTATAACATGAGGCTTGTTAAACTGTGAAGTATCCCAGATACTCATCTATACCAGAAAGCTGGCATCTCTGGGCCCTCTGCAGTCTGCATCATGTGGCTGTCTAGGAGTTGTGGCCCCTGCAAGGTGATTGAGGGTGGGTTGGACTGCAGCACATTTATAACGGAGCCCTGTCTGGCAGGTGGGGTTTCATCTAAATGTACGCTCCACAGGACAATTTGGCAAAAGCATTTAATTTCCGTGAATTGTTTCCCTTTTGATGAATTAGCTTTTTTTTCCCCTAGTGGATTAATAGTGATCTGCGGGAAAAAATCCAAATGCTCCTACTTGCAGAGAGCAGTCACATTGGTTTCTTTGATTTGATTTAAGTAGATTGCACACTGGAAGTACTCTATGTAGCTAACTGTTTGCAGGATTATAATTAGAATAGACAGAGATCGTATTTCCTGTTATTGCAAGTTGTACCGTAACCCAGATCTCTTGCTTTTGAAAAGAAAGCACACAATGAAATATATTCCCCTGAGAAGCAGTAGAAACTGTCACCGGTCCTGCCCTAGGTAAAGCACAGTCCTTAACCTAAACTGAATTAATGTCAAGCTGTCCACTGGTACCTCGGGGATTAGCATCTTGGGTGTGTTTTTAATGGCATGCTTGCACTTTATCTTAAGCTGATTTACTGATTAAAAAAGTTTTTGATTTCCCAACAGACAAACAGTATGTGCTTCACGAGGAAAACATCCTGCGTCAGACGGCGCTTCCGAGAGTTTGTTTGGCTTCGACAGAGGCTTCAGAGCAATGCAGTGCTGATGTAAGCAGCTTGATATATGGTTAATTGATAATATGTCAACTACAGAAGGGGAGGATTGTTTCATCATAATTCTGAGAATTACAGAAATCCAAGCTGGAAAGTGTCCAGTGTTTCTTACTGCAGAAGTGTACTGTGTGCATTTTCTCTGCTTGTGTGCATTTTCTCTGCTTTAAACCCAGAATCCCAGAATGGTTTGGGTTGGAAGGAACCTTAAAGATCACCCAGATCCAACCATCCTGCCATGGGCGGGGACACCTTCCACTAGACCAGGAGGCTCAAAGCCCCATCCAACCTGGATTTGAATGTGGTTTTTAGTGATAGCCTCTATTTGTAAGAGGTTTGATCTGCATTTCCTTTTGCTGTGCACAAGTAGGAGAGATAGGAACCTAGCATAAGTGTATGTGTGTCCTCTCTTTTGGAATGCGCTTAGGTTCTGCAAGGACTATTAAAGACCCAGCCAGATATGCATGGAGGCTTAACAACCAGAATAGAAAAATCAGATTAATTTCCTTTACCCTTTGAGGTGTGTGAGAAGCCCTCCAGTTTCTCAGCCTTGTGTTCCCAGGTTTGATTTCATGAGCTTCTGGAACATGACCCATGATTTGCACATGCTCAGGGTTGGCATTTGCTTATTGCATTTTCCTCTGCTGATTCAGATTTGGTTTAAACTGTATATTTGCTTCTTGTTTATAAAGACAGCTACCTGACCTGCCATCTAAGACTCCCTTTTTCAATATGAATAATCCTCATCACGTGGACCATCGCCGGCAGGGTCTGCAGGAATTCCTGGAAAAGTAAGTACAGCCTATCCTGGAGATGTTGGCATTTCTATGATGTCATCAATGTCTGGTTTATTATAGCTCATCTCTGGTACTTGAGAGCCACCGTGTGGTCATCTGTACATGCTACATACTTGGTTTTATTTGCACAGTCATATTTCATACACGTGACTTCAGCTCTATTGGCTGAGAGGAAGCTTCAGCTGAGGTTCTTCTATTGTGTTCCATTGTGATAGCTATAAATAATAGTTTTGGATTTAAGTCACTTTGCAGTTGTGTACTAAGGTTAGGAGATCTTTCACTGTGGCGTCTATTTCTAGCTTTCAAGAGCAAGCTAGATAGTCTCATACAAAGAAACATACTTCTCTTCATGTCTGTGGAGAATCAGTGTCTTTGTGAGCTAAGAGCCTGTGAGAATTCTGTAGCCAGATCTCCTAACACAGGTATTTCCTATAATGCCAGTTACTTTGTTTACCAACCCCACTAACATAAGCAAGCTCTAGCAGCTGTGATCATTTTCAGTACAGCTGCAATGTGTATAAAACCATTCATCAGACTTAGCTAGAGCCTGACCTGTGTTACAAGGGAGTACTGTATGAGTCTCGGTTCTGCATCCCTCAGTCCCACTGCTGTAACCACTTCACCTTCTGCAGTGGCAGAGACCCCACTGGTGTAATTTTCTGCTTCCTCTGCCATTCTCGTGGTACCCTGGCACTGCTGGTGTGAGAGGAGGCTGCTCACAGCTGCTGGGGCAGGAATTGTGCATACATTTGCAGGCGCTCTTTAGTCACTGCTCGGGGTTAGGGCATGCTAAAACACTGCAAGTAGAGACTATTCATCTGCCTTCAGTATCAGTGTCTCTGTGAATTGGAACTGCACAAGCAAAGGGAAAAAGCAAATAATTTAAGCAGGCTTTAAGTCTTGTAGTCAGTAGGTAGAGGAGTGTTAGACCCACTGTTTTTCCAGTCAGTGTATTCTAATTATAAGCCACCCTAACAGACAACAAATCATTGGTCCTGAGGTATATTTGTTAGGCTTAATAGCTTGAAGACAGGGAAAACTAACTGCTGCAGGAGTAATGTTCTGTATACAGTTATATAGGATCTGTGGCCAAAAGGATAGCCAATAAATACTGGTTGAAGGCATGCGAGCCAGGGAAGGGAAAGCAAAAAAGCATCAGAGGCTTTTTCTGCAGCTCAGGAAAGAAGGATAGTGAAATAGAGTGACTGCTTCCAGAGGCAGTAATACTAATGGTCATGCAAAGGGTGTGGTAGCCCCATAGAGTAGTGCGTTTCCAAAATCACTTGTCTTAAAAGAGCAAAGAGGCCAGTCTGGTAACTAGGGATAGTATTTCAGCATAAGAAGTATTTACGACTGCTGTCTGTGCTTCAAAAGGCAAAACAGAGGTAGATTCTCTTAAAACACATTCTCACCCTCTGATTTTGGATGTCTGTAGCTTAAAGGTAGTGCCAGCAGAAAATGGCAGGATGTGGAGTGTTTTACCTTGCTGCTATTAGTCTAGGAGTGAGAAAAGAGACATCGCTGTTGTAAGGTGATGATTTAAGTATTTGAACTTGATGTTGTTTAGAAAGGTGTCAGCTTTCTCTCGGCCCTGGGGAATAGTTGGAAGGAATTATCAGGGATTGTGTTGTGATGGATTGGTTTGGCGCTTTGTGTGCTGTACCATTGCCCTCTGCTGGCTAGCACTTTTGTGCTCCTGCTGCAGGCAGAAGGCATCTTTTCACTTGCTCAGCTAGGCTGCCATGATTTCTTTCTCTGAAACTGAATTTGTGGGATAGTTAACAAGTGTGTGTATAATTATGTGTATAACAAGTGTATGCATACACACACGTACACACTTGACTTTACTAAAGCTCTAGGCATGTTTTGTAGTGTGGCAGTTCCAGGGGTATCTCCCTGGTATAGTAGAAAGGGGATGAAAAGGGATCCAGAAAGTAATTGCATGGAGTGATGTAACTCAGAACTGCAAAGCACCTCAGCAATGATGGCAGTCACCATGCAGAAGCTCACAGCCATGCTGATGTTTCTTTATGGCAGTGGGAAGGAATGGGATTCACAGAATGTGTTGGGTTGGAAGGTAGCTTAAAGCTCATCCAGTTCCAGCCCCCTGCCATGCGCAGGGACACCTTCCATTAGAGCAGGTTGCTCCAAGCCCTGTCCAACCTGGCCTTGAACACTGCCAGGGATGGAGCATCCAACCTTACATGGACCTGTCACGGGAGAGGTTTGCAGGTAACATTTTGCAAAGGCCACATGTGATGCAGGAACCAAGCTCCTCTCTGAACTCGGTGCCTTGTGAGGTTACCAGGATCCAAGCTCTCCCTGAAATATAGTTTAGATCTTTCACAGTCTCACTTTGTGCCCTGTGCCCGTTGCTGCGTGAGCAGGTTGCTGTGGTGTCTGCCCAGGCAGGAAGGAGCCACATACCTGAGGAGTAAGGATCAAGTGGCTGGAGGCTCTCTGGTACTTGTCTTCTGGCCCTGGGAGCAGCTCCATATTGCCTACATGTGGATGGCTCTTGTCCTCCTTCACGTGTCATTCCAGAACAAGTTAGCGCTGGGCAAGGTGCGTACTTAGATGGAGCCTTTGTAAAGCATCTCTGATCTGAGCACAGTAGTGTGAGAACTGGGCCAACAGCTGGAAACTAAAGCAAAGCTCTGTAGAGTTTTGGTGAAATCTGGAAACAGGTGTCCCATTTTGATTTGGCTTTACTACACAAATGCAGGGTAAGACCTTGTCTCGCAGGTTATTATCTCTGAGTGATGAAGAGCTGTAAAGCTCACTTCTTGTCTGGGCATAATTTAATATTTCAAGAGGCCATTTGCATTAACGGAAGTCAGCTAGCCCCTCTTCAATTATGAATTACTTTGTAAGAATAAGGAAAATTATGTGTTTTTCCTGGTAAGTATCCTCATCCTTTGAGGATGTCTGTAAATTCACAGGGGAGGCTTGTTCTTAAATTAGAGGTCAAAATTAAAACACTATCTTATAAAGTTCTGTAAAATCCTCTTTGCTTTCCAGCCTTTGTAGCTGCACAGGTTTAACTGTGGTATTTAGATTACCTTCACAGAAGTTCATTTGGCTTTGCTTATTAGAAAACTAATAAGCAAAACTGTTTTAAATTAAATTTGGTTCCATTACTGACTTTTTTATTTTTAATGTAGCTGGATGCAAAAAAAAGTGTTGTTGAGGAAAAAGGGTTAGTCTTCAATAGTGTTCAAGCATGCAGTTTATGATGGAGTGGAAGAGATAGTAGGAGTTTTGAGTAACTCGGACCCAGGGGAGATGGAGGGCATCCATGGTGTTGCTGCTCCAGGTGGCTTTGTGTTGGGCTCGCTTGGTGCTGGAGTGAGCAAGCCACCCAGAAGTTGGCTGCCTAAGGCAGAGCCATTCCCTGGAGGTGGCTCCTCCTCAGCCTCCTTACCTTAGCCACCACAGTCCCACAGGCAAGAGCTGGTGCAGGGTCAGAGGACCCTGCTGGAGGTGTCTCTGCTGGGTGCTCTCTTGGGGATGTGGAAAGCAGGAGACTGGCTCCAAAGGGGATGGATGCCGGCCTGCCAGGGCCAATGCAGGAGCATCGGTGGCCATGGGGCAGGTGGGATCTCCTTAAGCGAGTGGTGGCTGCCCCTTTCCAATGGAGCCTTGCTCATATTTCCTGTCTGGTGAGCAAAGTGAGTAATGCCCAGCAGGCGCATGTCGCTTAATCTTTTCCTAAATGTATGCATTATCAGATGCCCAACAGTTGCTTCACGGTTGCTTGCTATCAGTAATATTTCCTCCCTGATAAAAAAATGAAGGAGAAGACACAGTTGGCTTATTTTAAGAGGAAACTGGGGCTTTGTTTGCTGGGGCTGAGGGGCTGGATGCTCAATAGAGGGCACCACAGCATAGGCTGTCATTCCCTGCCTCTCCGCTCCTGGCTTTTCTCCCCACTTGCTCTCATGATATGATGTAAATGGGTAGAGTAAATTTGTCGAAAACAAAATCGGGAGTGTTAACCTTCCACACACATGCGAGCGTGCATCTGTCATTGTATTAGGTTACAGTAGATACAGGAAATCTTTAGTTAGGATTAAGTTGTACTGTTCAGCCATATGTTGTTCTCCTCCAGCAGAACAGTGTATAATATACCTAATAAAATCATGTTGAAGAAAACCAGATTTTGGCCCTTGTCCAAATAAGACAAAACACATGTTTTGTCTTTTGTAAATGTCCTTGCCAAAACATGGGGAAGGCGAAATAGTCGTAGAGTATCCAGCGTTTCCTCAAAAATAACATTATTTCTTCTGGTTGTGAAGTGACATTTTTCGGTCCCTCTTCTTTAAAGGTTTGGAGATCCCGAGCATTTACTGAAAGCTTACAAACAAGACTTCACGTGGCTGTGAATAAAAAATGATTTCATTATCTCTAATTCAAATGTAGAGCCTTATCCTGCAGCCCCCTTAATCACATAAGTAGTCATTATGCGTGTGAGCAGTCTGGCTGAGAGGAGCGAGATCTCTGACAAGTAATGACTGCTGATGGGATCAAGACTTGCAGGATTTAGCCTTTGGTTCCTACTCCAGGCGTGCGCTGAAAGTCTGTTGTTCTCTTAAATATGCTCAGTCAGTTTATAGGAATTATCACCGTGAGCCGTGACTCTTCCATTAGCACAGCAGCAGCGAGAGCTGATTTACATCGCTGTAGCAGCAGCTTTGCACTGACACCAGCTGTAATAAAACTGTTGGAGAAGCACTGGGAGTGCTACTGGTTGTGTCGAAGCTGCGCACGCGCTCAGTCTCTGCTGAGACATCCGAGTATTAATATTGTGACACTGCCTCTCCTCCTGCCTTTTTAATTTGTTAGCTGGTGTTTTGTGACTTTGATTCTTCAAGTCCTTCGAGCCAGATCTGCTTTTTTAGGTGTACAACCCTTCACACACTGGGTCCCCAGGACAGCAAAAGCCCTAGAGAGCAACAGCTACACCAGCACTTAATACTAGTAGTACCATCTGGTGACAAATGTGTGGCTATTCCCTTGAAGGAGTATTTTGAACAGGAAAGCATAATGCTTACAGATAGCAGAGAATTTATTTCTCATTCTGATTGCTTGAAGAACGCAATTAAGAAGCAATCTAACCTGTTGGTTCAGAGGGGGTGGGAAAGGCACATTAATTTTTAATTAAAAGGAAGAAATGCTTCAGGGGTGCCACTGGGTGAAAAAGGTTCGTGTATTTGCTTTCAGGGTGGTTTTAAATGGTTTGCAAAATGCACTGGGTGTTTTGTCCCTTCCCCCTGTATGAACATATATGTGTGTGTGTGTGTGAGAGATTGGCTTTATGATCGCCTTTCCATTTCTTTGCCTTGCTTTCTCTTCAATCCTTTCACCTCCAGATGGCACTATGAAGCAGAAAAGAAAATTACTGTGAAATAATGAGACCAATGTAAAGTAAAATTGGAAATTGAATTATAGCTGCAGAAAAAGGACAGTAGCCTTGAGGTCCTGATCAGTCTGTACTCTTATCAGTTTTGTTTGCTGTTCCATGTGTTAGGTTACTGCTGAGTTAATAACAGTGCTTTAGCAGTTCAAGGCTTAGCAGAATTGTACTGGACATGAAATAAAGCTAAAATGAATTTGTGTCCAATATCACTGACATTAGTGCTCATTACTTCTCTGGTGTAATGCCTCAAACCATCTAAAATCAATTTTAAAGATTACCCATTATTTTATAAAGAAAATAAAATAACATTTCAAACAGCAACAGAGCTGTAAGTGTAGCGTAATTTCATGAACAGTTAGTTACTTGTGTTTGCACTGGTTGGCAGGAAACTTTTGAAGGTATGGTAAGAGGAAAATCCGTGAAACTAAATGCCATCCACAGATTTTAATGTCTTGGCTTTTTGCTGGGTCACTTGATATTAGACACGCAAATGTTAGAATTGCAGAAATGTGCATCCCCTCGTTGTGCTCTTAAGCCTGGGAAAAACAGTAACTCTGGTTACTCTACAGTAAACTCCAGCTTTACTTTTCCTCTTCTTTTAAGAGGAAGAAAAGAGGAAGTAGAATATTTACTCCCGCAGTTGCATAAACTATAAATGTGGATTTATTGTGCGGAATGATACTTTTTTTACTTTTTGTTGCAGTGTTTGTCTTTGTTTGGAATGTACGTTTATCAAGAGCCAAGGCTGAAATCCTCTTTTAGTGGCCGCTGAATGATGGCTTTTCAAACTGTATTCGTGAAGCTGTTGCTGTGAATGTGTGTAGCCCTGTAAATTCTGGGGTTTAAATCATTTTTACTCAGCATTTGCTGGCTTTGCTGACTATGAAGAACTTTTTCTGTATATTGATACACTGTGTGCAATGATTTTACAGATATCTATTTGCTATGTTTATTGTGAAGTAAGATTATGAGAATTTAGATCAGATTAAAAACGCTTTCTCTAGGTATGGAACGTGCTCATTTTGAACTTCAGTGAAATCTGCTCCTTCTGAGACTGAACTTCAAATGCACCTGGTAGATCATTAGGGCCGTTGCAGACGTTTCCTCATTGGAAGGTGTCAAAGTTTGAGTTATTTGGTTGAGACCGTGTGTTTACCTAGGCAAATGAAATGTGCATGTACGTGAATATTGCCCATTTTCAGCTAGATATGTCTTATTATTTGGCAGATTTTTGGAGGCTTAGATGAAGCCACAAATCCTGTTGTGTGTTACTAACGTTATTATAATGTTGGCCACTTTAGAGAACAGTTTTCAGAACATACTTGTTTTAAAACATTACAGTGCAAACGCACCATTAATCTTATTTGAGAGGAAGAACTACTCAGTTACACTTTCCATTTTAGTCTGAGTACCTATAGAATGCAGTATTTTTCTTTCTTTCTGCTCTTACTTGTTCTTACATTAACATCCTCTCTGGTTTCCTACTGCATAGCAGTGACATTTTTCGTAATGGCTGTAATCTAAATGGGTAGAAATAAGTAAATATTGACTCGTAAAAGTTTTGATTTGTTTAAAGGTACTTTAATAATTTTCCATGGAGCACTGTTTGGCATGGTCATAGGCACTGATGACTATTACATGAGTAAGATTATATGTACATATTAAATTAAGAAGTCTCTTGTTAATCATTCTAGGATTTGTGTATTAAAAAATTCCTTCTTCAGAGAAATGTTGCAGAAAAGTTGCTTTCCTCTTCCCCACCTCCCCCCTCCAAAAATAATGATAATTATCTTACAACTCTCTACAAAGACTGAGAATTTATCTCTACAACTTTGTGTTACTGGAATGTATTATATTTTGTTTACTCCCACTTGATGTAAGTAAATACTTTATGCTAAATTTATGTGATGACTTAATTTAAAATACATCTAAAACAAAGATTAAAACAGACTTTTGAAAAAATAGCTGAAATGATGCCTATATTTCCTGAAAATTGCAAATAAATTTAAACCAGTGTTCAGTATTGGCATTTTCAGTCTAGCTTAAATGTATGCGTATGTGCAAAAGTGTAAATGATTTTTGGCTAGTGTTGTCTCTGCTGTTTCCAGGTATCTCAAAGTCCTGACACTCCATGTATATGAAGTCCTCTGTCTCTGTACACACTTCTTTTCCCCCACCAAAGAAATTGGTGACATAATTCTTAGCAAAGCTTAGCTCTTAAAACAAACACAAAAAGTTCCCAAATGGAGACCAAATTTTTGTAAGAGTATATGCCTCCAACTGCCTAAAAATCATTAATTGTTCCGTGTGGTAATAACAGATGGTTAAATGGAAGAAATGTCCTTGAAGTTATTCTAACAGCAGATGTGCCTGTTAGCTTTGTGTTTTTACTCACCTAAAATTCCAAATAACGTAGCAAGAAAGTAACACACACCTCATAATTTTAACGTGTTCGTTACCTCCTGTTGTTGATTTTAGGATTCATCTGAAAACTTAAAAGCAGGACATCGTTTACAGTTTGTTCTGGTAGAACACTTTATATGTGTGTATGTGCATGAATATAAAAATACTGGAACTTTTTTTCCCCCCCTTTTTTCCAGGATCCTACAAGATGCACTGTTGCTCTCAGACAGTAGGCTTCACCTCTTCTTACAGACTCAGCTAAGCCCAGAAGATATGGAGGCTTGTGTCTCTGGACAGACCAAATACACTGTTGCTGATGCGATTCATAAGTTTGCCTCTTTGAACAGACGATTTCCTAAAGAAGATGAAGAAGGAAAAAAAGGAAAGAACGACACAGACTCTGATTCAGAGAGGTGATTTCTGCATTTCCTCACTTTCGGAGATTATATATCCATACACACACACACGCATGCTTCACTTTTTTTGTTGATGTAATACTAAGATAATGAAAAAATTAATTGACTGAGATTTTATTGAGCTGTGACAGCTCATCATAGAAGTCTTCACACACACCTCCACACTGAATTAATGAATGCAGTAGAAATTCAATTATCTGCATTCTGATTATGTGAATTTCATTTAGTCAGACTTGAATTATTCGCGTTTAAATTATCTTGCTAAAAAAATATCCAACTGCACTCCAAATGGCTAATTAAAAGTCCAAATTTCCTGTCTCTCTTTGTGACTGGAGATAATTAAAGTTCTCCTCTGTTACTCAGGCTTTGAGTGTGTTGTGAAAACCAATTTCCTCCTTTTATTCCCTCCCCCCCCCCCCCCTTTTTTTTTGTTCTCCCCCCCCTCACTCTCTGCTTCTCTGCAGTTCATCCTCCGGGCTCGGACCTAGTGATGACAGCATTTCATGTGGATGTAAAACAAGCCCAGCTTCTGAAGAGTCATGAAAAATAATTCCTGCATTGCTAGCTTAAGGACAGTGCAAAGCAGTTTCTTCTCTGGTTATGTGTACCATGCAAACACGGGTGAGCCGGTAAGGTGTACCTGAAAGAAGCATCGTCTATACAACCATATGTCCTTATAAAATTTTCAAAACAAACCTCAATAACATTTCTTTGTTGATTCCATTATGTTGATTCAGGTCTACACGCTACCTATTACATTTCAGGGGGTTTTTTAGGTATTAAAATTTCAGTATTGGGTAAGTCATGCTTTGCTGACATACATGGCAGTTACAGTATTTCCCTCAGTTCCGTGCATGTCTTAGATCTGAAAAGTAAACTTAATTCCTCACTTAAAAGTTGGTATATCATACCAAATATATTCCAAGCATCTTTTTGTAATTTGCATTAGAGGTTTCATCTTTAGAAGTCATTTGACATTGGTGATGAAATTACATACCCCACAAGGTATTCACTTTTGAAAGTAGCTCAGCAACATCAGCAAAACAACATTTGTATGAACTATATGCTGCTGGCAATTTGAGAGATAAATATATCTTCCTCTGGTCTTTCTGTAATGTTTATGGAAACCTTGGTTTTATCATGCAGAAGAGCTGAAGGCCAAAATTCTTGAGCATGGTTGCTTAGAAGTTAGAAATATTAATAAAAATGACATCATTTCTAGTCTTGCTGGAGATTCTCAGTTCCCAGGGAATGACAGATACTCATTCCCAGTGAAAGTCCTGGATGAGGCCCATTGAAACTGAGGGTGAATTTTGCTTTGACCTCATTAGAATCGGGATTTCACCCAGCATGAACTTCAGGCACAGATATTTGAAAATGCTAGGCGAGATGTTTTAGTTTAGCACCTAAAACATCTCCCTGTCTGAGATGATGATAATCACATAGTTGTAACATGCTGTACTGAAATGGACCTCTCCACTCTTTGGGAGTAAACGGAGCTGCTGATTTCATTGTGGCTGTAGTTAGCACGTTGGAATATTGACTTTTCCCCCAAACAAAAGGCAGGCTTGAACACAACTTTGTAACCAGCAACACTTATTTTGATTAAAAGTCAGTTTTGCTCTTTATTGGTAACAGCAGCTGTGTAGTGTCTTGTCCCAGATTCTGTCAAAGGAATATGTTTCACTGTGGTGTTGTATTTATATTTGACATTTAACTGCTATTAAAAAGAGCTAGGGGGTCTGACCAGCCTAGCAAAGCTCCCATTAACTTTAGAGAGATGGTTACCAGCCTAGGAACAGAGAATTATATGTATGTATATTCTAAGAATTCTGTGAATATTGTCAAAGAAGGAGCATATTAAACCTGTGAATTATGGAAACAATACATTGTTAAATGGCTATCTAATACAAGGTAGCATGGACGTGTGCAGGCATGCTTTTATTAAAGCATCCAGATGGGAATCTGCGTAATTTTAGAAGCATGTTTTAGTAGCCCAAGAATAACATCTCTTAGGTAACTACTTTTAAGCCACTGTATTTTGTTGATGGTTGCACTTTTATAAGATTAATATCCATGTTTCTTTTTGTGGGGTCTTACTGATTTGCACAAATCTATCTATTCACCTTCTCAGCCTGTGAGTTAGCAGCAATGCTATTTTAATGGAAAAGTGATAACATTTAATTAAAGCAACAAGTTATCACTAAAAGTAGCTTAAAAAAATAGCTGTTATTGCCAGGCAGAGATTTTTGATTGCTTGATAGATTTTTGATAGATTTTTTTTTTTTTTTTTTTTTTTTTAAGCTGGCACATTACAAGAAAAAATGTTTAGCAGATTTATTTGAAAGATGGGGAAAATATAAAAGCAAAACCTGGAATAATGTCTGAGCTATTAATATTATTTTATGCAGTAGAAAGGGAGTGTGTTTTTTTTTTTTTCTGTTTTGAATGACTGAGATAAACTGTTGAAGCACTTTACATTTCTGGCCTACTCACATGTGATGAACGTTACAGCAATGCAAGGTTTAGGAGAGCATTTGGGGCTGTATTTTATTTTAGGAGCTTATCTGTATGCCAGTGAAGGTTTTCCAAAAGAAGATGTTTCTGAAACAAATATTTGTTTTCTAATAACTCTGTTTTTCTTCTGGTATTTTCTTTGTCACCCTGTTCAATAATTCAAAGACCACCGTAACTGTACGTTATTCCCAGCTTTGGCAGAAAATTGTTTAAATACTTAGCTTTTGAATGTTGTTTGTGTAGCTCGTATTACTGGAATTTTTCTCATTAAAGGGGAAGGAAAGTGTTCTATGCTGTCTACTATGTCATCTTTTTGTATCAGCGGCATGTAACCGCATATAAATGCTGTAAACAAAATGGCTTAATTTGGAACGCTAGACGTAACTGTTACAAATTTAAATTCGTAAAAAAAAATAAATAATTTTAATGTCTTTTGTGACTTCAGTGATTTGGTGATTTTTTTTTTTTCAATACTGTCACGTATTTTGATCAGTTGGTTGCTGGTGTTTTGATTCTTATTTTTATTAGTTTTGAATAATGCTGTTATTTCCTGCTAGGTTTTCTTTTAAACAGGCTCATATCTAGTTTGTAATATTGTCTATTCACTATTGCTGATTTATATCTAATTGCAATAATTCCGCACTCAGAAGCTTCGCTTTTGCTTCGAACTTTATATCCTGTTTTTTATGATTTCTTAAAAGCCTTTAAGTAATTAAATAAAACAAGTTACTACTTTCTATTTTGCATTTAAACCTGCCACTAAGGGTTTCCTTTATTTCAGTATCAATATCCTAATCGCTTTATGACTCACTGTAATTACCCAATTTTTGTAATACTTGTCTATGTGTTATATACACTGTTGTGCTTGTGTTTGCTGTCACTGTTTTGTAGAAAATATAAAGAAATGAATAAATGAGAGGAAGACTGTCTTTTGGAATGAAAATTTTTGTATACATAACAATGTAGTTTTTTTTAAGCATTGAGAAAATTTATACTCTTAAATGCCCCACTTTACAACACTACACAGCTCTTAATGTACGGGTTGTTTTTTTTTTTTTTGGGGGGGGGGGGGGCGGGTGGGATTTTGGGTTTTATTTTTTGACATGTGAGATTTTTTTTTTTTTCCCAGAGCAATATTTAAATTATATAGGCACAGTATTTGTGACTTGATCTGTTGTAAAATTCAAGGTGCAATTACAGCCAGTGTGTGAGAATAAACCCGCTGTGTCGCCCTGTAACTGCCGGGCTAATGACCACGGCGTCCACATTTTTCCTCTCCCTTCTAGGATCTTGCAAAAATGTGAATTATTATTTCCAGTATCACGTTCATCCTTTCCCTGGCAGGATTAACTGCTTTAGGAAAGGCAGGGTTGTTCTCTTCGATGTTAAAAACACTCTGTAACGTGTTAAAGCTTCTGCAGTAACACTCCCTTAGCCCAAGATTCGAATAACCTTTGAACGCCGTTTTTCTTGGGCCCTAGCCCCCGGAGCGCTGGGTGCCACACGCGTGTCGGTTGGTGCGGGTACACCCGCCCCGGCGGGCAGCACGGGTCGGTGAGCGCGTCCCCTCGGCGGGGTGCCGCCGCCCGCTGCTCCGCGCCTTGCCGACGGGGAGGGAGCGGATGAGGACTCAGAAAAAGATGGGAGAGGGGAGTGATAAAGGGGTGGGGGGGTAAAGCAGGCAGCGCCCCACGTCATGGTCCTCGGGGCACCGCCATCGCTGCGCCCCATCCTCTCCCAGCGCTGCCGCGGAGCGGGACGACATCCTTACCTGGGGCCTCCGTGCTCTCCGCTCCGCTCCGCCCCGCCCGCCGCTGCCTCACTCCCCCGCCTCCCGGTGTGCGCGCTTGACGGCGGTTGCGTGCGCGCACGCGTAGCACCCCGAGTGCCCGAGGGGGGGAAGGTGCGGGGGGTCGGCCTTGATCCGGTAACTCGTGGCAACCGCAGCCCATGGCAACGGCGGGGGGCGGAAAGCTCCTGCCCGCTTCAACACGGGGGGGCAGGGGACAGCGCTGAGACGGGCTCCGCGCCCCACACCCCATCCCGTTTCCCCCCGCCGCCTGGGCTCCTTCCCGCGCCCCTCCCGCGCCTCCGCCCCGCGCCTCCGCCGCCAGGGGGCGCTGTTTGGCAGCGAGAAGGGCGCAGCCGGGCGGGGCGCAGCGCGGTGCGTGCCCGCGGGTGCGCAGGGGCTGGAAAACGTTCTCACGTTTGTGGGTGTCGCTGCTGCCCCCGCGCCGGAGCCGCGCTCCCCAATCTTAAATAATGCTTTTATATCTATTTTTATTAACGTAATATTTAAATAGTTTTGATACAAAAGCAGTTAGGGCCCAGCGCAAAGCCAGGGAGCGACATGGGGCATGGCCCGGCGGCAGGCAGGCTGCTTCCAAATGGAGGCCTTTCTGCGGAACAACGGGCACCAAAAGGCCTTGTGTCACCCAGTTATGTAAGACACAATCTCGCCTGCAAATGCACAATGAATCGGGAAGGATTTATGTAATTAATTGACCAGTCTTAACCTGTTATCGTGATGTAAGGAATTTGGAACTCATTAATTTGGGCCCTGACAGATTTCATATTAGAGCTGGCAAATATGGATTGAGCCTCTTATTCTTGTAGCAGCTGGAATTTCCATGACAGTGAGGATTAGTGAAGAAGACCTATTGCTCGAGTCAAACTGCCTCTTTTGTAATCAGCAGCCCTGCTCTGCATTAAAGGGGTAATGGGAAAAGGGGGAAAAAATAAATACCAAAACAAAAAGAGAGAGAAATGTATTCATGTAAGGAGCAGAGCAGGGGAGGGAAAGGAAGGACGTATCCTGGGGAGCAGAGGCACCAGAGCGGGGCTTTCCCAGCCCCGTGGCAATGAAAACACCACAAAGGCAGCTCTGGTGCGGTGAAAAGGGAAGATGCCCAAAGGAGAGGTCCACAGCACCCACATGGGGCTCCCTGCATCTCTGCCAGACCTTCAGATGGAGCCTCCTGGGAGCCACCCAGGACCTGGGGCTATGGCCTCAGAGGTTCTAGGAGTGGCTTCTGGCCTGCCAAAAGCCAGAGGGATTTAGGGATAGAGGGATTTGGCTTGTGATCCTGGGAAGTGGGGACGAAGAGATACCTGTCTTCCTGCCTGATGCCCTCCCTGACAGGGAAAAGGATGCTCAGGGTGGGTAAGGACCAGGTCTGAGGATGAG